CTCCTCTGCCCAATACACTTTCTCTCTCAAAAATATTCTTGTATTTTATTTCTTCAAGAGCTCAAAAGCTCCATTAATGGCTTTCTACGCCTAAATCATGTACCGTGTACACACCCCCGATATTAATAAAAATCCCCCGTTGGCAAGGTACCGCCAAAAAAGGCCCGTGGTTTTCTCCCGATTTGGGTTTCCACGTAAAAATCCTTGTGTTTATAGTTTGGTGTATTTTTTAGACAAGTTTATCGTTTTTGTCGGGCTAAAACGATATACCGGTCGATAATTTACACTATCATTTTGGCGCCACCCGTGGGACCCGAGCAAATAGCCGTGTTGCCATATTCATTCATTTTCCTCAATAAAAAAATGAATCTCAAAACCAATATCCAGTTTTTACCAGAGTGTTCTGTAAGCCATTTTGAGTCCCCTTTGTGCAAAAATTGGGTCCAAAGTGCTAATTTTGGGAGTCACTTCAACGTGTCAATTGGGAGGTCGAAAAGGGAGTGTTTCACTCCAAGTTGTCGTCTTTCCTCAAATTGACGGCTACCCGCTCGAGATCCACCATCATGAAAGCTACTCTTGTTGTCGCTGCTCAAACCCGCCACCGCCGCCGATGCTCAGACCTGCCGCCGCTGCTCAGATCCGCCGCCTCCGCCGCTGCTCAAACATGCCACCGCCGAATTCAATCGACGAGATTGCCGCCGTCACCGAACTCAATAGACGAGATTGCCGCCGCCGGCGAACCCAATCATTGGTCGTTGGAGCCATTCACCGCCATCCACGTCTAGCGCCGGAGGGCCGCGTGATGCTGACTAGCTGTTGTATATGTAGCCGCTCGAGTCTATTGATAACATCTTGAGGTCCGCCATTACTGACAATGGAGTTGGATTCGTCGCCGGCGTTGGTTGAAACTGAAGCCAGAGTCAACCACCCTTCTACTTGTTGCCGGAGGACGATTCTCGTTCTCTTTTTCCGGCATTAGTAGCCGCCCAAGTTCACCATCTAGCTCGCACGGAATCGGAAAACAAGTGCCACCTCGCACGTCGGATTCATCACCGGAGCGGATTCACCGGCGGAGAACACATCCAGCAAACTAAAATTGCATCTGCAGGTGCGGATTCATCGGCTTAACGGTTCCTGAATTTTTAGGCGAATTGGAGCACCGCCTAATCGCCAATCCCTAATCCGCCAATTGCAGAGCACCACAGGCGATTTCATAGCTTCCATGCTTCCAGCGAAGTCCAGTTACTCCAGCGACTTCCCTCCGTTAGTGACTCTATGCAACCCAGTTCACCACCAGACAAAAGACGCCGCCGTCAAAAGAGATTATTCACTCCTCTGCCCTTGGTCGGCTGCTTGTCCACCATCGTCGCAGGAACGCTACAACACCGGTGGGCTTACCCCCGCAACACCATGTGGGAGGTTCGTAGTCTCTAAAGCCAGTAGTCCGCTGGTATTGTTATTATGCGGACAGCTGTTCTCGGCTTATCAATTGAGGGAGTTCCAGTGGAATTTTGGCCGTCAAAACTAAATTCCTTCCAAAGAGGAAGAGGACAAACAAAAAAAGTGGGAAGAAACCTACTTTGGAGATAAGGTAGATGCCAACCACTAAAAAAGAAACGGTTATGACCGACTGACTGAGGAATTCCAATTGCTTCCGTCCAAAAAAGCAAAATTGAAGAGAGATAGTGGGGTGTCCAAGAAGTTGCCCCCACATATTTCACAAGGGCCCCACCAATTGATCATTTTGATGGGAGATGCATGTGCATTGAACATCACGGAAAGAGGGAGAAATAAGCTCCTCACCTATTTATCATGGGTCCCACCACTTACAAGTGATGTTACATTGCACCAAACATTATGGAGCAATAATTTGGGTATTTGTACATGCCTTTTGGACGAATTCGGAGGGAAGACTGAGACACAAGCCGAGCTTGGTACGCTGGTTACAACACCGGTCTTGCTCAGTATTAAAAAAAAAGAGGAAGACTGAGACACAGGCCCGGCCTGGCACGCTGGTTACTACACCGGTCTTGCTCAGTATAATAAAAATGTTGTACAAAAAAATTTTTTGAGCACGGCATAGGCCGGTCAAAAAAATGTTGTACAAATTATTTTTTACAGGAAAAACTTCTGATTCAAGAAATTGGAGAATTAATGAAGACTCGGAGGACTAGCAATAATATCTACCGGTCAAGAATTCAAAATACGAAGACTGAAGATTACACTCGGAGGACTTATTTACTTTTTTAAGTTGATGATTCTCACAACTTGAAAAAGTGGAGGACTTCTTGATGGGAAATAATACGTGGCTCGGCCCACATTTCCCAATTATTTACGAAGAATAATCAAACCGGGTCTGTTCGTAAAATGAAGGAATAAGGGAATATTCCTCCGAAAATGCTCCCCTCCTTCCTATAAAAGAAGGGGTTGCCTAATTGAGAAGGGAGGCCAATTTCATTCATCTCCAGACGGGTTATGTGAAAGAGACTCAAAAATATTCTTGTATTTTATTTCTTCAAGAGCTCAAAAGCTCCATTAATGGCTTTCTACGCCTAAATCATGTACCGTGTACACACCCCCGATATTAATAAAAATCCCCCGTTGGCAAGGTACCGCCAAAAAAGGCCCGTGGTTTTCTCCCGATTTGGGTTTCCACGTAAAAATCTTTGTGTTTATAGTTTGGTGTATTTTTTAGACTAGTTTATCGTTTTTGCCGGGCTAAAACGATATACCGGTCGATAATTTACACCATCAGAAATTGTATTACAATTATACAATTATATCACTTCATTAATTATACCAAACAAAAGATTTAGAATTGAGTTAAGATTCAATATTATAGAATTTTAATTCACATCCAATTCCAATTTTGTGCAACAAACGGAGCTTAAAATTATTTGTTTAAAAAAAGAAGAAGTCAACGAAACTATGTGGGGGGGGGGGGAGTGTAACTAAAAGTGCACCCCTAGGCCCCTGCATTAGGCCATCCGTTGTGCGGCGTGCCCCCAAGGCGTCACGAGCCTCACGCCCCCGACTGTGGTAGCCATCTCGCCAAGGTGACCTTCTTTCATTTTTTTTGTATTTTTTTCATTCAATCAAAATTTAACGCATATTATCCATTAGTTTTAGCTTACACTCCTTTTTCAAGAATCATAACACATACTCCCTCCGTCCGGAAAAGAAGTTTACGTTTCTCTTTTTTCTCCGTCCGAAAATAAAGTTTACATTTCTAATTTTAATCCACACTCTTCCAAAAATACCCTTCTCTACTTTTCTTTCTTTCTTTCTCTTCTTTTTTCCTTACTTTTTTTCCCTTATTTCTCCTTCCTCTTCTCCGCCACTCTTTTCTCTTCCGTCTTCCCATCCTTGTTCTTATCTCTTTATCCTCTTCTCTCTTTTCATTCATTTGCTTCTCCTCCCCGCAAGTCTTTTTTCCTTTTCTTCTTTTCTCCTTTTTCTTTGTGTAGATCTGACTTCTTTCTCATCTTCCTTTTCTATCTTTCTTCTAGATCTAAACAGATCTGCAATCACATCGATGGGAGATGGCGGTGATTAAGGTGGTAGCGGTGATGGGGGCTGGCGAAGATGGGGGATTGGCAGCAGAGATGGCGGCGATTTGCTCGTGCTAGTGCTTCCAGAAATTCTTTGATTTCTTGCCATATGAGATTGAATGCCATAACTATTATTTTTGTATTTTACTTTTTATTGGTGCTCTTGGGAAATATGCACATATATGATCGTGGTGGGGAAATCTGCAAAGGGAGGCTGATGATTGTGGTGGGGGATGGCCGCGAAGGGAGGTTGCCGGAGACGGGGGCTAGCGGCAAGCCGGCAATGGGGGTGGCAGAAATCGGCAGTGTGGTAAAACTAAAGGTGGGAAGGGTATTTTGGACTAATTCACTCCATAGTCAACCTCCCTTAAAAATGACCAAAAGTCAAAACGTAAACTTTAATACCAGACGGAGGGAGTACTTCATTCGTTTTGTAAAACTTTTCAACTTTCACATCTTGCTTCTCTCATAAAATATTTTAATTTGAACTAAACGGACACAATTACATTTACTTTTCTTAGATTTAATCGAACATGTCTCGACAACTTTTTACACCATATCTATTGTGACATTTTCCGAGTCATAATCTTTTCAATTTCACACCCAACCACTTATGGAACGCCACATTTCATTACAGCGATGAGACATGGTCTTATACTCTTATCAACGAACCAAAAAACTAAGGCACAATCAAAGTCAAAACCGGTGTACAATCAAAAGTCCACACGCAACAAAAAGGAAATGAAAGCGAAGCGATTCGTGCCCCCGAATTGCTAAATCACTGACGAGTCATAATTGGGCAACTCTCTCTGACGACTTGCAAGCGTGCAGAGCATGGTTGCATGCATTTCCTCCACATTCTTCTTCTTCTTCCTCCTCCTCCTCCTCCTCCCGCACTTGTTCCCTCTTCTTCCCTTTCGCCAGATCTCGTGCGCAAAGACTGACACCGTAACCGCAACTCTGTCCCTGAGAGATGGAGATGGAGAGACCGCCATTGTTTCCTCCAATGGAACCTTCGAGCTCGGATTCTTCAGTCCAGGCCAGTCCCGGAACCGGTACGTCGGGATATGGTACAATAGCGTGTCTCCTAGAACAGTTGTGTGGGTTGCCAATCGCCAGATCCCTCTCAACGCTACATCTGGAGTCTTCAGAATCGTCAAACCCGGATCCCTTGTTCTTCTGGACGGAGCATCAAATCGCACCGTTTGGTCGATTAATTCCTCCAGATCTACCCGGAATCCCGTCGCGCAGCTTCTGGACTCCGGGAATCTGGTGTTCAGGGATGGCGATGGAGAGGCGGATTTTCTATGGCAGAGCTTTGATTACCCGACTGATACCTACTTGCCTGGGATGAATATAGGGCGGAACTTGTTAACCGCGCACGACATATATCTCACATCTTGGAAGAGCAGCGAGGATCCAGGTACAGGGGATTATACATATTCCATGAGTTTGGATGGGTATCCTCAGAATTTCATTATGAAGGGTTCAGTTGTGATGTATAGATCTGGCCCGTGGACTGGATCACAGTTTAGCGGCTCACCCAACTCAAGAAAGAGTCCTTTCTATGAAATTGGGTTTGTTTTTAACCAGACAGAAGCGTACTTCACTAACCAGCTGCTGGATTCGGTTCTAACACGGGCTACATTGAACCCGAACGGAGTGCTGGAGCGCACAATATGGGTTCCTCGGACTCGGGGTTGGACCATTTACCTCACTGTACCCACAGACACATGTGATACATACAAGCTTTGTGGCGCGAACGGGCAATGCAGCATTCAGAGCTCTCCTTTGTGTGGATGTCTTGACAGGTTTGTGCCAAAGAAGCCAAGTGATTGGGTCAAGGGAGATTGGTCCGGCGGTTGTGTAAGGAGGATGCGTCTGAGTTGCAATGGAGATGGGTTTCTGAAGTACTCTGGCATCAAATTGCCAGACACGAAAAATGTTTGGTTCAATCAGACGATGACACTCCAAGAGTGCAATGCACGCTGCTTAAAGAATTGCACTTGTATGGCTTACTCAAACTTAGAGGTACGAAATGGGTGCTTCATGTGGTTTGGTGATCTGCTCGACATTAGATTAGCTGCAAAAGAAGGGCAAGACATATATATCAGGCTTGCAGCTCCGGAGTTAGGTAATATATTATTTGCTTCATCAACAGTCCATGATTCAAAACATAAGCACATATGATAATTGTTGTCCAAATTGAGACCAAGCTTGATTCTTTCATATAACTTAACTGCCAAAGATTATGGATGCTAAAATCTTAAACATCGGTTTCAAGAAATTAGCTTTGATCTGTGATGGGTATATCGAGGCAGCCACAGAGATCCGTTCTTCCAAATCCCATCATCAGCTCTCGTGTGATGCCGTGATCGCATTCCACGTGCAGCACAGGTTGTAAGGACACTGGCAAGGCTAATTCCAAGTGACCAGGCTATTTAATCTTGATCTCTGTAATTCCATTGTTACCGGTATATTTCAATGATTCTGCACTAGCATAATGTGAGAGGCACTGTTAACTTAATGATAGAGCCCCAGTTCACAGAAAGATTTGGGGTTGTAGCCCATATTCATTTTCTTGTATTGAACTTTGCAGTATCCAAGCTCAGTTCATGTGAAAAGAAACGAAAGATACTCACTATTACTTTGTTACCAGTGGCTGGAGTACTTATGCTGACTCTGGTTATTGTGGCGTCCTATATAAGATGGAGGAAACATTCAGAGCCGAAACATGAAGGTAAGTCATGCTCGTCCCAATTTCTGCTGAATAGAGGATATAATACGTGTCCAATACATCATTTGTATTAACTTGGTTCACTTATCTCACACTAAAGCGATGCCTATCAAATTTTAGTAAGGCGAATGCATAACAACGAAAGCAACAATGATGAGTTTGAGCTACCCCTGTTCGACTTTTCCACACTGATTAAGGCTACTGACAGTTTTTCTGCAAAGAGCAAGATCGGAGAGGGTGGATATGGGCCTGTTCACAAGGCAAGCACAACTTTCGTTTTTATCATCAAGAAGCAGTAGTAAATCTTGAATATACGAATGTCTTTCATATAATTTCTGCAAAAAGTTCTTGATTCTCGACCCCATCAATCAATACATAATTTCTTTAGGGCATGCTAGATAATGGACATGAAATAGCTGTGAAGCGGCTTTCGAAAACTTCTACTCAAGGACATGGTGAGTTCAAGAATGAAGTACTATGCATTGCTAAACTCCAACATCGGAATCTAGTAAGGATGCTTGGATGCTGCATTGAGGGAGATGATAAACTGTTGGTCTATGAATTCATGCCAAATGGAAGTCTTGACACATTCATATTTGGTGAGGTCTTTAGGGAATTGATGCAATCATGAGTATCATCATTTGTTTTAAGATAATGGAAAATAATAGGTTCAAAATGTTGTCAATAAAGCCTTTTAATGGTGTACGTGATTATTTATCCACATTTTTTGCCAAGCATCAGTTACATTACTACCCAGAAATAATGTGTAATATTTTTGGCATAATAATGGTAACCCTATATGACATTTTTTGCAGATGAAGCACAAAGTAGACATCTAGATTGGCCAAAGCGCTTCCAAATCATCAATGGGGTTGCTCGAGGACTTACATATCTACATCACGATTCACGGCTAAGGATCATTCATAGAGATCTAAAAGCCAGCAACATTCTGTTGGATTCTAACATGGAACCAAAGATATCAGATTTTGGAATAGCGAGATCTTTTGGAGGGAACGAGATAGAAGCCAAGACAAACATAATTGTTGGAACATAGTAAGAATCTTAAGGTAATTTCATATTCTGCATATTAACTTTTGTAACATTTTGGTACATTCTTTATTGCAGTGGCTACATCTCACCGGAATATGCAGCCCGAGGGCTCTACTCAGTAAAGTCTGATGTCTTTAGCTTTGGCGTATTGGTATTGGAGATTGTAACTGGGAAGAGGAATACAAAATTTTGTCATCCAGATAGTGATGTCAACCTTGTTGGACATGTAAGCATTAGAAGTTGCAAAAAATTTTAAGTTCACTAGCTAACACAATTGTACTTGTATGTAGGCTTGGAATCTGCATAGAGAGTGTAGGTCAATTGATTTAGTAGAGCCTCATCTAAGGGACACACCATCTCTTTCAGCATCTGAAGTTCTTCGTTCAATTCATGTGGCTCTATTATGCGTGCAACAGCGACCAGAAGACAGGCCAAGCATGTCTTCCGTCATCCTAATGTTAAATAATGAAGGTGTTTTGCCCCAATGTAAACAACCAGGTTTTTTCACAGAAGACAATACCACTTTTTATGACAAAGCTGAATCAACAAATGAGATTACCATTACCAGCTTAGTCCCACGCTAGCAAACACCTGACTTTTTTTGTTCGTTTGTTCTATTGTTATCCCCGAGTTTGAGCTCTTGATGCTTTGATTATCGAAATGTATATATCAGTCTGCTCAAGTTGTTCTGCCAAAAAAATGTACTCACAGTGCTTACATTTTCTAACTGCACTTAGTTGACATACCTGCTAATATAGCAATATGTGACCCAAGTTCAAATGCAGACTTTACATTCTGCCTTTTCTTTCTTCTGCATTTAAACAAAATTATTATGCTTATGCAGTTCCTCCCAAAAATCTAAAAGTTTGGAATCAGACCCGTCGGTTCTGAAACTGAACCAGGGGTGGGGGGTGGGTACCGTACAAGAACCAGTTCCAGTTACCTAAAATTAGGTACCGGAACCGCCAGTCTGGTACTGGTTCTATTTTTTTCCCTGACTGCTGAGTACCGACTGCCGACTGTTGCAGCGTTGCTGCATCCGTTGAATGGCTATATACTTGTTTTCAAATTCCAACGACTATAAACTGGCAAGGGTGGGGGTAACTTTCCCCCCCTATAAACACCTCTTAAATCTCTTTCATTTTCACACTACAATCTCTATTATCTACTCTTTAATCTCTAGTATTCTTTTATCCTTTTAGTCTCAAATTCTCAATTTTCATTTCTCATATTATTATATTCTCATTTATAATTTATATGAATATGATTATGAAGTACACATAAAAAATGTCGGGTGCACGTAAGCCCTTGATATCCGTAGTTTGGAATGTTCTCGAAAAAAGAAATTTTATTTTTTTCTCTGGGTTCGAGCTCCCAAACTTGTGGTCGCATGTCTAATGTTGACGAAACCTCAACAATCAATGTTCTTTTTTATGTCTACATTCGCAAAACAAGTTTAGTCCATGCCAATTTCTATAGTTACACTTAAGCAAGAGTTTAGTTCAAGCGGAAATACATTGGTCGATTGTGGTGCACAATTGAGTGGCGAGTGACTGGAGACGCTCGTTTGCTATCACGCTTGGTTATTAGTCTGATATAGAGAGTAATAAATGACTTTCACGATCGACACATGCTTCATGGAAGCTATCAACACAGAACGAAATAAAGTATTGATGAATAGTTCACTCAATTGTATAAATTCTACGAAGTATAATTTGTATTATAATTACTATGTTTATTATTTTAGTTACCATTATAAACTGAATATAAAATATTAAATACTATTAAACAAGTAAAATTATTCTATATTTTTCTTGATAATTTTGTAACAAATTATGTGTTTCTTAATTACTCTATTATAATTGTTTATAACTGATTTTTTTTATTTTTGTTATAAAATAATCTATTTAAAATTACACTTTATAATATTTTAAATAGCATATAATATGTTTTCGTTGAGAAAAATTACCTTAAATTTACGATGTGTTGTGACTTGCTCATTTTTGCTACCTTAGCAACAAAAACAAAAGTATTTAGACATAAAATTAACGTAGCTAATTAGCCAAATACACTACTTTTATGATGTGCCTACTTAAAATGTATAAAAAACAATGTATGAAATGAGTATTGTGTAACTTGTAGTCTACATAATATGAATATACAATAACACCGTACATTTGAATATATAATATACGAACTCTAAAGCACAGACAAAGATGAGATTTTTTTTATCAGATTTATTTGGGTCATTTTTTCTTTTCCATAATGTAGAAGTTTATTTACTCTGTGTTATTTTTGAAATAAAGTGATGATTTTTTGCGAGATATTTTGTGAGTTATATCACAACTTGTAATTATTTTATAAAGGTGTTGTGTTGGATTATTTTTGTTTATCAAGATAATTCTGGATTATTTATGTTTATTTTTATTTCAGTAAAGACTACTAAAAAGTATTGCTGCATTTATCTACTACTTTTGAAACATGGAATAATGACATGTAAATTAAATTAAGAAAGAAAAATTGTATAATTGATATTTTTTAAAATGTACCAAGTATAAGAAAAATTAATAATGGGTTGAACTCAAAAAATAAAAAAGAGACAAAAATCAAATTAAATATAAATTTTTTTAAAAATCTTATTTAGAATGAATAAAAATAGTGTTAGAAAAACTATTGTGAATAAAAATATGAAACTTCAATACTTTTCACTTTTTCTTATATTTTCAACTCTTTTTAGTTTAATAGACTTTTTTTAACACTAATAATTCTAATAAAATGTAGTATTTGTTCATACAGAACAATCTTTTAAAGCACACCGTGTTATTGCCTCACTAAGAAAACCTCTTATACTGATCTCAATAATTCCCTAAATTTTGATAGTTAAATAAATCTTCATCGGAGTGATTGGTCAAATTTTAGCACAATTATTGATAATTGTAAAGATTTTTGTGCTCTTTGTGACAGAGATTTTCGATTGCAATTTGTTCCTCGCTCTGCTAATGAGGCAGTGCATTTGGTAGCGCGTGCATCTCATTCTTCTCGGAGCTTTAGAGACTCGAGAGTGGTCTGCCTCACCCCGAACTTTATTTCATACATTATTTTTTATATTCTTATTTTATACTCCGTCCGGATTATTTGACTACATTTGATTTTTTTTGGGTTAAAGTCGGTAAACTCTAACCCCAAATTAAATAAAAATTGTAACACCCTAATCCGTCCAGGTCTGCAGCCCCATTCGGACTAAAGTATTTAACTTGGTAATCGTAAAATTTAAAACTTTTCAAACACACTTTATTAATCTCAATAATATTTTTCATAACATATACAGTACGGAGTATTTAACAATATTGCGGAAGCGAATTTAATATTGACATATCATAAATCATTTCAAAACTTGTCACATCCATCCCGACAATCTCGCCCCANCTCATGATTTATTTCAACAAATCGTTTCAATATTTACATTCTAAACAAATTCTTTATTTACTCTTGTTTTGGGTCTGTACTCAGGTTCCCAATCAAGACCACACAAATAGTCCACATATTGGATTTATCTCTATGAGACTTATCCAGATTTAGATGTCAAAACAAATTTCGTATCGGCCCAAAGCCCAACAATAATTTATTTTAATCAAAACAAATTTGATTAATTGATTGTTTATTCATTAATAATTCTAGGGTATGTTTTGGGGCGTTACAAAAATGATACTAGATATTGATATAAAAATGATTTTATTAGATTGATTATATAAAATATTTTTAATATATTAGTTTATCTAATTAATATACAATATATGTTTTATTTAATTATATGTCAAATGTTAAAAATAACTGACTGAAAAATGTTAAAATTAGACAAATATTCTAGGCTAAGGTAATATCTTATACGGAGTATGATTGAATACAAGTTAGGGGCTGTTTGGCAACTTCTGAATAGATAAGTGCTGAACCAGTGAGAGGTCTGAACCATTAAGTGCTGAACTAGTAAGAGGTCTGAACCATTAAGAGCTGGTATATTGCTTAACTATTCAGAGGCAAATGTCTGATCAATTCAGATAAGAGGTCTTAACCATCCAGACTCTGTATAATACTTAATCATTCAGAGGCAAATCTCTTAACCATTCAGACATCTGAACCATTAAGATGCTGAAACAAACAGTCTGAACCATTAAGTGCTGAACCATTCAGACATCTGAACCATTAAGAGCCTGAAACAAACAGCTCCTTAATTTCAATAAATAAATAAATAAATCTAATTTCTAAACTCAATGAGTGAGGGGTAATTAATTTGCAAAAGTGGGGCTCAAAGAAAGATTACCAGGGTATAAAATGCAAACATTTATAACTCCAACCCCTTTCTTCTCTCCTTCTCCTTCTGTTCATCAACCATAGCCGAAGATTATCAGCCCACTCTCAACTTTCAGCACTGCAGCACACTCAAATCTCCCTCTCCACCATATACCCAAAACCCTTCGGTTTCCTCGCAAGGAATTCTATATTGGTTGAATTAATCATACTCCGTGTTTCCATCCAGTCTTTGCCAAGATAATTTTCCAATTCCTCCCATTCCCGCAGCTATTCTCGCTCCACCGGAGATTTCTCCCGGACAATTGGGATACGGCGGTTCTGCCGCCTCACAGGTGCGAATTTCAGTTTCTAATTCTGGCAGTGCATGAAAAATGTGTTTTTGTTTTCGTCTGTTGCCGGTGGCATGTAATTGGATCTTGATTCCGGCCCTGTTTGGGTTACTCGGTTGATTGTTTAGTATTCCTCTGTGGCGGGTGGCAGTTTGAGTTCTTGAATGATTTGGGATTTGATGGATTTGTGTTTGAATGTCACAGTGTAACAGTCGGTTATGGGGTGTCCCCTGTCAAGGAATATTGTAGCCGAGCTCAGAGTTTCCGGCTATTCCCCATCGGGTTAATTAGGTCCGCCAAGACAAAACGAAGGTAGGAGCTATCAGCTGTTTGATGGTCTATTCATTGTTTTCTAGGTAAAATAGCATACCCTGATTTCTGCATTCATCAGTGAATGTATGCAAGTTGTTTCCCTTTATTCGTTCGCTACTCAACATAGGATTTGTTGGCATTTTTTGGTTAATATATGTTGGAACTGTGTGTATCACTAAATCCATATAATTGTCCTTTTGGGTCAAACACTCACGGATTTATTAATTGGATTTATTTATTGGGCACCTCTTAAAAGGCCTCATACTCCGGAGATGGGTTGAATCTTATATCTAAGTCGAAATTTCCTTCTCCATATGGTGTGTGAAGTGGTTCGTATCTCAAAAATATATTCTCCCAAATGATATTTTAATTAATAATGGAGATATTGTAATTAGGGTTTCTGTTGAAAGCATAATGCAGCATGAGTGAAGTACTCATTTTTTATTGCTCCATAATATTGGTGTGTGCTGAACTAGCCCCCATAAAATTTGGTCAGTGCCAACTGCCAAGTTACTAGCGGGAGTAGTATTTTAGAAAGAGGAAAAGATTTGAAAATGCATAGATAGGTATATCAGATTCTCAGAAGACTTATTCCAATATAACTGCAGAGACTCAACCTATAGAAAGAACTTTAAATTATTGTTAATTTAGACAAAAGATTCGTTATTGACTATGTTTAAGCTTCAGGTAAATGATGGTCATGGACAAAATAAAAAACGTCACATTAAAATTCCCTTGCTTCTTGCTTTGGTTGAAGTTTCATATAGTAAATGCATGAATGCATCAAGGGTCTGATGAAAACAACCTCTCTATTTTTACAAGGGTAAGGCTGAGTCCCAGATCCCTAACTGAGTTTGGATTGTAATGGGTTTGTTATAGTATGGGCAAACATCAGATTAGACCTTTATGGATCATTTATAAGTCAAAAAGGAAGTTGAGTGTGCCACTGGGAAGATCTTTCAATGCCCCTCCCTTGGGAACACATTGCTTTTTCAAGCACGTAATAGTTCTATGCCAATTCATGATTTAGGTTTTGTGGTCTAAACAAACCGTGTAGATTGTAATCAATTGGTTGTTCATGTTTTGATAGAAATGTAAGAAACATGTGATTCTTTCTGAATTCTGATCAATTACCGAGTTCATCGTAGCTATAACCCTGATTAAAGTTGAATAATCTCAATCAAGGATATCATAGTCTAGCATCCTATAATCATCCCTTCATTTATTTATGGATCTTGCATAGTGAGGATATCAATCAATAAGTGCTGTTACTGGAGTTACCGTCACTAGATGATTATTGTTTTAATTCTTCATAGCAAACCTTTAACAATTGATTAATGTTTTCATCTCATTTGTTAAATGTTTGGGTTTTGATGGTTTGTGGAAATTTAAATTTATATTGTTTCTTTCCAGGTCTTGTGAGATAAAATGGATTTTCGAAAGGGCATTCCACCTTGTGATTCCCCTGCTGGGAATATGAAATCATTGGTGTTCTCCAGTAAGGCAAAAGAGAAATCTCATTCTTTGGAACTAACTGAGGCTGGTATTGATATTGACATGGGAGAGGTCTATTTTTTAATTATGCATTTCCTATCAATGGGACCTTGCCACAAAACTTATGGACAGTTTTGGAATGAACTTCTGGAGAATCAACTTTTACCCCGAAGATATCATTCATGGTATTCAAGGAGTGGGAAACAAAGCGGGGATGAAAATGATGATGGCATGTCTTTTCCATTAAGTTACAGTAAGCTTGTGGAAAGGTAATCTTCTATATTCATAGTTTATTTTTTTTCTTCCTGAGCATATATAGCTTTCAAATGTTCAAAAGAAGAAGAAGAAGAGAATATTGCATGGTAATTCTTGGATAGTTTAATTTGCATTTCTGTCGTGGTTTTACAAGATGTAAAATACTTAAGTCTCAATTCCCGATGTCAAAGGGCTGAGTAGTGTATGGACTTTTTTTGTTTAATAACTACTGTTGTTAACTATACCTTATGGATGTACATATTACTTTGACTTCTTTGTTTTTTAATACCAAGTAATTAAGTAAATATCCTTGTGTTGTACACATGATGGATGTTAATTGGTTTTCTTTGTGCAGGTATCCACATGTTGAAAAGGATCACTTAGTGAAGCTTTTGAAGCAACTGCTGTTGAGTGCATCAGTTCCTTCATGTGATGCAATTGGTGGAAACACTATAAATGCTGCAACTGTTCCAACCCTCTTAGGAACTAATTCCTTTTCACTGCTGAGTAGTACGAAAACTTAATTTCCTGATTTTGCCTATTTATCACCCTTTTTTACGATGAGTTGTTGGTCTGGTGAAATTTAAAGCCTCCTCTTGGCTCTTGCTCTCCCTCTTTTCCTCCCTCAGGTGATCAGAATAAGAGGGACGATGATGTGGTACACCCTCCAACTCACCTTCGTTGGCCACACATGCAAGCAGATCAAGTGCGTGGACTAAGTTTGAGAGAGATTGGTGGTGGCTTTGCTAGGCATCACCGTGCACCATCTAATCGTGCTGCATGTTATGCCATTGCAAAACCATCTACAATGGTGCAGAAGATGGAAAATATTAAGAAAGTCAGAGGGCATCGCAATGCTGTTTATTGTGGTAAGATAATTTATATTCCCTCTTTCCCAAACTAGTAGTCCCCATTTCCTTTTTGGACGTCCCAAAAAGTAGTCCTCTTTCCACTGTTGGAAAGATTTTTGTGGCTCATATTTTCTCTCTCCCTTGCATCACTTTCAACCACATAATTTCACTTTTCTTTAACTCTGTGCCGAAAATTTGGACAATTAAATTGGGACAGAGGGAGTAATTCTTACAGCTATTAATGTTTACAACAACAATCACCCAGTAGAGTTCCGCACAAGCAGGGTCTGGGAAGGATGCGTGCACACAGACCTTGCCCCTTACCCCTACTAAAAGTAGAGAGGCTGTTTACCCCTAGCTCAAGCAACACGGAGGACAGATAGTTCAACAAAAAAATCAAAGAGCAAACTCGTGGTAGGAAAAGCGCTATAAGCCAAAAGGCACACAAAGAGATGTAAGGAGAAAAATTCCAAGCCTACAAAGCACACAACGACAAGAACAAAACAACCCACCCCGGTCCAAACAACTAACTAACAACCCTTATCCTAGATCTCCAAACATTTCTATTTAAGGTCATAAGTCATATCCTCAATAAGAGCTAGAAACAAGTTAAACTTGTTTTTGTGAAATTTGACTTTATCCTGGTGAATGAAACAAGTCAAACTTGTATTTGTTAATAGTCTGCCAAAATTTTCAATGTCTTCAATCACAATTTTGTTTCAGATTTTCTTCTGAAATGTGATTGTGGCACAATGATGAAAATTAGAGCATTTCAAGCTTTCCGATTAGTCCTTTTGATCCCTTATTTAACATTAATATGTTGAACTTTCGTATATCGTTGAGGTAATCTATAGTCTATACAACAACAACCAAGCTTCCCGGGTTTGCTACATGAACCAATAGAAAAACTCCAATCACTCGAGGTTATTCGTTATCCACTTCTATCTTCATTTTCCTCTCTTTTCTGTCTCGCACCATGTGCTCAATATAAAAATCCAAGCTTCAACGCCCTAATTTCTTTTTTACAATGGCATTCCATGTCACATTTAGTTTACTGTATGTTAATTGAAATTATACCCTTCAACATTTATAATACAGCTTGTTTTGCTGCAGCTATATTTGATCGGTCTGGGAGATTTGTCATCACTGGTTCAGATGATCGTCTTGTCAAAATATGGTCGATGGAAACTGCATATTGCTTAGCCAGCTGCCGAGGGCATGAAGTAAGAGTGATCTCTGAATCATTTTATTTTTTTGACTGTTTGCATTTGAGCTGACATGATATGTGTTTTACTTCAAGGGTGATATTACAGATCTGGCTGTCAACTTCAACAACACTTTGGTGGCATCTGCTTCAAATGACTATATCATCCGAGTTGTAATATACTTTTTTTTGAAGTTAGCCTATATGATGCATATCTGTAACCGAGTGTATGAACATTATTGCTATCTCTTTTCAGTGGCGCTTACCTGATGGGTTGCCAATTTCTGTATTGCGTGGGCATTCAGCTGCAGTGACTGCTATTGCATTTAGTCCAAGACATGGTTCTGTTTATCAGCTCCTATCGTAAGCTAATTTCTTTTACAAGAAACCTTCAGAATATCCTTTGATCTGCTAATTGGATTTTTATATTAAACTTTCATTTTCATATTGCTGAAACTGGTATAGCCTGTGGCTGCTACATACACATTTATCAGCATTACTTACAAATATTTGTGGTCTAAGCCAATCAAGGGACTGACTACAGAAGGCTCCAATCGAGATGCCCTAGATGTTTTACTGACTTTAGTTCTGGCCAACTCATGAAGTGGATGAGTTCTATACTTATCCTTCTTGAACTGCAAGGCTCAAGCTGACACTTGTTCTTTCATAATGCTTCTTCCATGAGATTGTGTCATCCTTTGGGGGCGGGGGGAGCTGCAGCTAATAGATAGTTACATCGTAGTTTCTAACACATTGTGCCTCTGGTTCCGCGCTCGAACCTTCAATTCTCTTTTTTCTGATCACGCTACTGCTGGCTTTACAGGTCATCTGATGATGGAACATGCCGAATTTGGGATGCTAGGCATTCCCAATATAGCCCACGGCTGTATGTTCCAAAACCACCAGAATTAGTTTCCGGTATGATTTTGCTTTTTTAAACACCATTTGCAGTTACTGGATTTGGTAGGAAGCTTAGTTGGGAATATGCTTATTTGGTCATAGGATCAAGCACTCTTGTACAAAGCCACCAGATCTTCTGCTGTGCATTCAATGCTAGTGGAACCTTTTTTGTTACCGGCAGTTCAGACTCTCTTGCACGGGTAACTAACCTCTGTGAATTATGTTGTATATTTTCTCTATTTCTCATTGCTCAAGAATGTTTATCTATGTTGCATAGATTGTTACTCACCGGGCATAGATACAGGTATAAGTATGAAAATTATACCCGTCCATCCAGTAAGTTTCTTCTCGGTTTTACTTGACACTGTTTCTAGTGTAAAATGAGAACTCCTTTGATTTTTTAAAATTGCCCTTAACAAAAAGAAGGTTCAAGAGAAGAACAAAAGAGAAGTGTTTCCCTTGACCCCATTTTGATCCAAACCTAGAAATGAACATCCCCAAATCTGTGAACCTCCAGTACAATCTCTGCGGCACCACCTTTTCTGCTTTGAAGTTCCCGACGTTGCGCCGATCAAAGTTGACGACACAGGTTTCTCTTTGTGGTTTTAGCCAGATTTCGTCCTCTTGAAGCACCAGTGGTTTTGCTTAAGATCTAATCCTTTGCCGCCCAGATCTTGTCCTCTTCAAGCACCTAGATCTAATCCAAAACCCTTCACCGTCGCCTGGAGACTGGAGTGCTTTCACCGCTGCATGGAGTGCCTTGCTGCCGGATGGAATGCCTTCGCCGCCACATGGAGAAAAAGAAGTTCCGGAGAGATTTTAATAGTAAAGAGATGACAAAGTGCATAAATGCCATTCTCTAATAATTAGTTGCCATTTATGGAAACGGGAAGAAAGATATTGGACAACCAAAAATAAAAACGAGAAGAAAGATATCGGAGGGAGTATAAAATTTGGGTTTGGCCTATGGCATATGGGCATGGGTATGTCACAACAACAAACTCCTAATAATCACAACTCTATTAGGGTCAAGGGATCAGGATGTATGCAACCTAACCCCAATTTCTTCAACCTTCATTTAATGAATAAGTCAACCCAAGGTGTCTCAAAGATTCCAAGAGTGCCAAAGACGTCTGTGTGTGTGTGTCGATGCTCATCATGGCTCATTTGGAAATAATCGCTCTATCTTTTAAATATAGGGGTCAGGCTGCGTACATCCGACTCCCCCTTACCCCACAATGGACGGGAGCCTTTGAGGCACTAGGGTAATGTTGTTGTTGTTGTTGTTGTTGTTGTCGTCGTCGTAGTTGTTGTTGTCTGGATACTTTTTGTATGTTAGCAAAGTTCTATTTTGCCCTAACATTATGCAATGGCTTGCAGGTTTGGAATGCTTGTAAACCCAATGCAGATGACTTAGAAAAGCCTAATTATGAGACAGATGTTTTAGCTGGGCATGAAAATGATGTAAATTATGTGCAATTCAGGTTTGTTAGCCTGAATATCTCTGACATTGTCATTCATACTATTCATTAAATATCCAATTGGTGTTGATGCAGTGGCGCTTGTGTGACATCGAAGTATTTTCTCTCGGATTCTTCAAAGGAAGAAACTATTCCAAAATTCAAAAACTCATGGTGTGTTTCAGTATGTAATGACTGCAGGTCTAGATTGGTCTTTAGTCCTATTGACATGGCTCCTTTATTCTGATATGATATTTGGGTGATGTAACTTCAAAAAATAGGTTTACTCATGACAACATTGTCACATGCTCTCGTGATGGCAGTGCAATTATATGGATACCCCGACCGCGTAGATCGCATGTGAGCTTTCCTTTGCATGTATATATTTTCAAAACAAATAAAAATTATCCTCAAGGCATCGAGGATCTGAGTTTAAGTGGATATACTGCTACCCATTTTGTTGCCTTCGTGGTGTGTTTTAATATATGCACATTTCTTGTTTCAGGGAAAGAGTGGACGCTGGCAGAAAGCATATCATCTGAAAGTCCCACCACCACCAATGCTGCCACAGCCTCCTCGAGGAGGTCCACGCCAAAGAACACTTCCAACTCCTCGCGGGGTTAACATGATTGTGTGGAGCCTGGATAACCGTTTTGTTCTGGCTGCTATAATGGGTATAAACAACAACAAACCCAGTATAATGGGTATATCATGTTCATATATTCCTTAGTGAAATACTCCCTCTGTCCCAATAACTAACTTTTGTTTACATGTTTTCGTTGATCATTTGATAAAATAAAAAAAAATTCTTTTTTCACCACTCAGTTTGTAGAACTTTTGATGTAGTTTTAAATATATAGGTTGTATTTTTTAATTCTATACCAATTTGTAAATAAAATAAATTTAAAAGTCACGGGATTTTGCACGTTTTTCGGAGAGTGCAATGTATTTAGGGACAGAAGGACTTTGTTTTTGGTTTGACAAACCTTTACTTTGGATTCATGATATTGTGGCATTTCCAGTTGGTTTATTTATTTGAAGTAGAAAATAGAAAGACCCCTTAATTTATACTAATGAAAACAAAATCAAGTGCTTAATTTATGGACTGGTAAGGCCTTTTATTCAGAGGAGAAATTATCATTATGTTACTATGGTAAGTTGACAAACTAATTCACGATCATCTGTTCAGCGACTTTTTTGATCACTTTGTCTAAGAATTTTTTTAACATCACTTCCATCTCCCATCAGGTTTCTTTGACATTTTTTCCTTAGCAATATGAGGAATGTACTTTGCCATCTTCCAAAAGGCTTGAGTTTACCAACTTTTTGGCCGACGACTTTCCCTGATATTTTTGCATGGCATTCCCTTTCATCTTATTACTCCTATATTTTAAAGAAAGAACGTTATGTTGTCATATGCTCTTCTTCTATAACTCACATCATCTTTCCTTGCTTCATAGACTGCAGAATATGTGTCTGGAATGCAGTTGATGGAAGCTTAGTCCATTCTTTGACGGGTCATACTGCATCTGTAAGTCTTGAACAGTTTCTGTAAAAGTTATTTTCTATTTTCTGCAATGAATGAACACTATATGCCAACTAGTTAAGGGACTTGACGTTGTTATGTTTGCACAACCCATAACTTCAATGTTTTCAGACACCATTGTATTTTGAGAAGAACGAAGTTCTACTCCGTATTAATTTGCAAAGTATACTTTTATTGCATTATAAGTGTCATGCCTTTCATATAATCATATGATAAAGTTGATATAAGATGGCCATTATGAAGGGCATGTGCCACTTGTTGAAATGGATTGTGTCGTTAATAATAATCATAATTTTAATAATAAATACATAGGCCATGTCTAATTGTGGTATTTTTAATTGTCACAGGCCTATGTTCTAGATGTTCATCCTTTCAATCCTCGAATCGCAATGAGTGCTGGATATGATGGGAAAACTATTGTGTGGGATGTGAGTTCACTCTCTTTCCATTCTATTAGTTTTACATGATCATTGGTCCAGGGGTTATCCCTGACTTGATAGGGATCTTTAAACATACTGCTGCTGAATCAGCACTGGCATTTATCACCATTCTACTCAGTGCATCAGTGGTATCCTCATGTGAATATAATACTGAGTAATATGTTTAGAGTCTCTATTTATATACAAGTATTTATTTTACTTTATTGTTATTTTTACTTCACATAATCTCATGTCAACAAAAACCTCAAACAAATTACAGATTTGGGAAGGTGCACCCATTCGGAGCTACGAAATGGGAAGATTCAAGCTTGTTGATGGGAAGTTTTCCCCGTAAGTTGATCCCCCTCGCATTCTTGTTTTCATGTATCTTGAGACGTCTCACCTTGCATTCAAAAAACTTGGCCCCATACCTGGTTTTGTTTGTTTGTATTGTAAAAGTTCTTGAGTGAAATGACTAGATGAGTGAGGGGTTTTATTAATATCATTTCATGTCAGTTCTTGAGACACTGTTAGGAAATACATAGAATAACATACTCCCTCTCCCCCAAAAAGAATGTCAGAGTTCACTATTCAAAAATCACGGGAACTTTTGTTTATTTGCACATTTTCATCGAATATTTGATAAAATAAAAATATTCTTCACCTCTTGTTTTGAAGAACTTTTGACTTAATTTTTAAGTATGTAAATTTTATTTTTTGTTTCTATACCAACCTCAAATAAAATGAATTGAAAAAACTTGAAGAAATTTCACGCTGTTTTGTCTAATGTGAGAAACATCTTGGTACGTAGAGAGTAAGTGGTTAACTGGTTATCAACATGCACGCCATTAGTTTTGATGTAAATGCTGCCTTATCTTCCAGTGATGGGACATCAATTATACTTTCTGATGATGTTGGTCAATTATATATTTTGAGCACGGGTGAAGGAGAATCCCAGAAAGATGCCAAATATGACCAGGTTTATTTGTGTTCTATTAGTTCTTTAACTACAGACTCTGTCACCGACTCCTTGGTTCAGTTAATAATGTATAAAATCATGTCCTAACAGTTCTTCCTTGGTGATTATCGCCCACTTGTTCAAGATGCCATTGGAAATGTCCTAGATCAGGTAGGTTTTGGATTCCTGCCTTCTCTGCCTTCCCTTAGTGGAATGCATTGTGAGCTTTTCTCAATTAATGTAATGTATCAAATAATTGATCCCTATCAAATAATTGTTCAAATTGAATTTTGTAATACAAGTAATAAATAATATTCATGACCATTATAGAACTTAGAATTTGACACAACATTCAACCTATTTACTGCAACATGAATGCCTTAGAAGTCAAGAGTGAAGTGACTGAAGTCCAGTATATGATGATGTTGAAATAGCTGTTTGATGGTGTGTTTGTTTATTTTTAAAAAAATCAAAGAGCGAAATGCAATTATCTACTTGTGTAGGAAACTCAACTTTCTCCATATCGGAGGAACATGCAAGATCTCCTCTGTGATTCAGGTTTCTCTCACCTCGCTTTAGTCTGAATGTTAATATTGTTTGTTTTCTTGTCTCTTCGGAGATGGTAACTCAAGTGTCAAAAAATGACAGTCATGATCCCATATCCTGATCCTTATCAGAGCATGTACCAAAAGAGGAGGTTAGGAGCCATGGGTATTGAATGGCGCCCACCATCTTTCAGATTTGCAGTCGGTCCTGATTTTTGCCTAGACCCAGATTTCCAAATGCTTCCCATCGCGGACTTAGAAATGATGATTGAACCACTCCCTGGGATTGTGGAGGCAATGGATTGGGAGCCTGTAGTTGAGAATATAAGTGAGGATGCAGATTCAGAGTATAATATTACTGAGGACTGCTTTACTTCTGGAGGGGAGCAAAGGAGTTCTAGTTCCAATGCTTCAGATGACTCGGCAAGCAGTGAAGGAAACAGTGAGGAAGATGCCCAGCGAGACATCCTTCGTAGATCAAAACGGAAAAAACACAAAGGGGAAGTACGTTATTTATTCTTTTCATTTTATTGTGGAGCCCTTTTTTCACTTTGGTTCAGAAATCAATTCAGTTTCTACACTTGATTCACAGGTTGAGATCATGACTTCTTTTGGAAGGCGTGTGAAGAGGAAGAACTTGGATGACTATGATGGCAGTTCGCATAGGAACAACAACCATGTCAGAAAATCAAGAAATGGCCGGAAAACTTCAAAGAAGTCTTCAAAATCTTCTAGGAGACCAAGGAGAGCTGCAGCACGTAATGCCCTACATTTGTTTTCTCGAATTACAGGGGCATCCGTGGATGATGGAGAAGATGAAGACTTTTCTGAAGACGGTTCATCAGAAAGTAAGTCTACATTACAGGACTCGCACACCGAAAGTGATGAGTCGGATGTATCCTTGCACGATGAACATTATCACATGCATTCAAAGGGGAAAGAAATATGTGTGGATCAGTCTGAGGATATAGGTAAATATCAACTGAATGATGGATTCAGAAAGAGATTGGTTCTCAGGTTGCCAAACCGTGACTCAAGTAGGATTGCACCCACTCAAAGTGCCATGTTAGAGCCAGGTGGTCCATCATTTACAAGTGTTCAAGAGGCCAACAATGCAACTGACTGTAAAATGCAGGCTAACTTACCCAGAGTTACAGATAATGATGTAACAGGAAAAAGTGAGACGGGGCCACCAGTGTGGTCACATCATTCATATCTCCTTGATGGATGTGATGGTGGGACCATGAGATGGGGAGGAGTTAGATCTCGTACATACAAACATTCAAGGACAGGAGATCTGCCACCATCTGGTTCATATGCTGGAGCGAGCTCAAATCTCAGTGGACGTGCTCCGGAAGAAAATCTAATTAATGAGAATTCCACAATGGAAAAAGAGAGTGAAAGTATTTTTCCTTTGCTTCAAACTGGGATACCTGAAATTGCTGAAGGGCATGCAGAAGAGTGCAAGACTTCGGAAGAATTGCCAATATGCTCTCATGAATTGGCTGATGATGAGACAGTGCCTTCTCCATATGCTAATAATGGTACTGGCGATCATCATTCAGTCAATGAAAGAGTTCCAGTCACACCAACTAGGTTGAAGATAAGGTCAAAGCCTCATGTCTCTTATGGCCTTGGAGTTGATAATAAAATGGGTGAAGACTCTGCATTAGATAATTGTAGGCCGAGTACATCTGGTGTCTCTGAAGAGAGCGGGAAGATTTTAAGTTCAGCCGTACCGTGTAATGATAAACGGGTGGGGCTGGACAATTATTGCGGAGCTACTAGAAATGCTATTCTGGAGGATTCAAAGCAGTTGCAATCAGAGGATAGGATGTTCAGTGCTGTCTATAGGAGGTCAAGATTTGGCAGGGGTAATAGAGGTAGTAACCTTGGATGTACTGTTGGAAGCATGGAAGCCAGTACATCAACGTCACACAATCTCACTCCTGCTGAAGGGAGCGATAATAATAATAATAATAATAATAATAATAATAATAATAATAATAATAATAATAATAATAATATAGGTGATGGGGTCCGCAGAGCAAGATCTAACAGACCAAGGTCTTCAAACGGTGTTATAAATCTGAGATTTAGGAAACCCCACGATTACTCATTACCCCCATCAACAGGTTCAGGTAATTTTAGAGCTGATGATGAAAGACTTGATGAATTGCAGTGCAATAATTCAAAAGCTGTTGTTGGAATGAGATCTACGAGGATAAGGAGAAGCAGTTTTTACTTCCGTGAATCTAGTCCACCCCCAGATAGAAAGAAGT